AGAGAGAGAGAGAGAGAGTGTTTCATTATTATATGTCATAGTTTACAGGGTGGTTTCTGGACGTCAAAAAGAAAAGTAAAGAAAGTTCATACGAATATATACCCCAAGGGCCTTCTGTCAAATGTTATAACCATTAGAAAATGCCAGCTACTGCCTTCACATTATGAAAAAGAGACGTTCCGAGAGCAGTTTATGTTGTGTGGTGAGCGCAGAGATCCACTCGACTCCGAACTTTGCGATGATCTTTACGAGACCTAACAGTCGCCAGTTTCCTGGCCTGCACACTCACTTGCCTTAACCCTCTCGATTTATTCTTTCTTTGGGGATAGTTGAAAACCACGATGTAGACCAGAACAGTCGATACTAGAGAGGAACTGTGGTATAAAATTCAACAATTTGCAAGTGAAATAAAAAAAATAAATCCGGAATCTTCGAATGCTTGCGAGTTTCCCTTTCACGCAGAGCTGAGTTTAGTGTCCTAGAATATAGAGGTCATTTCTAGAGCCTCTTGTAGAAAAGTATAAACGGAGAGGTTATTCATAGCTTTTTGTTTGTTTTATTCTTATAAACAGCCCGTTAAACTTAAGACATATTTAAGGCGTGACCATGGAAGTTGAAATCAGAATAGCTGTAATATTTTAAGGAAGGCATTCAGGGTAAATGGGTAAATATTCGCATGGAGATTTTTTATTATTTCTATGTAAAATAAAATATGACATGCATTTTTAATGTGACACCTGTATATAGACAGACAGACAGCATTCTAGAAACCATGCTTTCGTGCCGTTAAAGCGTGTAAATCCGTAAAAATTTCGCGATCACAGTAGGCCTATACGGCGTATATGAGGATTAAATAACTGGCGCAGAGACATTGCCTGCTTCCTCATATACAAATGTTTTTGGCTACGTTAACTCAGAAATGAAATCGATTGTAGATCACTGTTGGTTTACGAGTTCCGAACAACACTGAAATCCGTCCTACGGAAAAGCGGGTTTCGACAAAATAACCATTTCGATTTCGGGCTCGTAATGTACATACCGATATTTTCCTGAAGATATAACCTAAAGCAAAGATTTCTCTGTGCTTAATTAAGAACCACGTCATGAAAACGTATGAGGGACTGGAGGTATAGCTCCACCATTCTTTACCTCGACACTAGATGGAGGTGAGTGATCAGCTTCACAACCCTGCCGCTTCACCCCCGGGGAAAGAAGCGCCGGTACCCATTGAATATGTGGGATGTCGATGCTCGAAGAGACAACCACGTAAAACTATAACAAATGTTTATTGCTGTTAGAACGAATATTACAGACGAGCTGGGAAGCGGAGCGTGCCTGATGAATACCGGCGAAAACTCCCTTCATAGCGGGCTAGCCTGAGCTATTGACGGCGTTCTTCCTTGCAGCAGACCGGTGATGCCGGTGATTGCGAGCCCGCCGGATGCTGGGCGGAGCTCTTGCAGTAGCGGACTAGCCTGCGTTAGTGGTGGCCAGGCCGGCTGGCCGGCGAAGCTCCTGCCGCGGCCATCTGGCCTGGTGAGCGCTGGCGATCGCTGGCGGAGTCAGCTGCCGTGCTTGCTGCTAGTAGGCTTGTACTCGTAGTTGCGGTGCTCTCTCGATGTAAGCGTAGCTATGACTGGTGCTAGCGTAAAAGTCACATTGCGGCTGACGGTATGTCAGTCTGTATTTCTTGGTGTCGAGCCCCAGTCTTGTAAGAAATCTAACCTCGGCCGTCCAGCGTGTAGCCTGTCGCTATACCGACTGAACTATCCAATCTCTGTAGATATCACCAATACAGTTTTATTTATAGATAAGGTCTCCATAAAGTACCGAATCATATTCGAAGTTGTTAAATCTGTTTTCGAGTAAATCGCCATTCTTTGTTTTGGGGCCCATTTCACAGACCCCTTGTTTTGGAGGTGGGCACCGACGTAGGATGGATGAACAGTCGAATGCACATCTAATATGAATAAAATCTGCCCAGCTATTCAGTTGCTACTGTGGTGCACATCCATCCACACATCTCCACATCCACATGAGTTTGTAACTCCTGATAGGATTTATGGAAGTGAAATAAAGTATGTATGTATGTATGTATCCGTCCGTATGTACGTATATACGATGGGAAGTCATAATGTTTTAATTATCACCATGAGAAAAACATAATTCCAAAATATCAATCTGTATAGGAGATAGCCCATTTCCTGAACTTGCCAAACAGTCAAATTTTCCCGCGTCAAGTGGACAGAGGGAGCCACCGGAAGGGGCAGAAGCAAAATGGCAACGTCGGTTGAGAAAGTGGAGGCTCGCGCTGTGATACGGTTCGTGCATTTGCAAGGGAAGTCTGCCAGGGACGCAAGGGATATCCACGACCAGATGACCGCTGTGTATCGGGAAGGTGTACCATCATATGACACAGTGGTCCGGTGGAAGAGGCGCTTTCATTGTGGGCAGACAAACTTTGAAGATGAACCCCGAAATGGAAGACCACCTCTCGCTAAGGAACCAGGAATTGTGGCACAGGTGGAAGCTTTGATCCTATCCGATAGTCGCATAACTATACTGAAGCTATTGTTCATGAGGTCCGCATTAGCCATGGGTCGGTTTTCAACATCGTCCATGACAAGTTACACATGACAAAGGTCGCTGCGGGATGGGTGCCACGATTATTGACACCAGTTCAAAAACAGCAAGGGATGGTTGTGACAAACTTTTGCTGTTGTGTCAAGACGAAAGGGTGGAATTTTTCGACCTCCTTATCGCGATAGATGAAACAAAGGAAATGAGCAAGTAGTGGAAACATGCAGAGTCGCCACCACCAAAAAAGGCTAAATTCCAGCCGTCATCAGGAAAGGTGACGTTGAGCGTATTCTGGGATGGGCGGGGTGTCATCATGACTGACTACGCGCAAAAGGGCGTCATCATCACTGGCGAGTACTACCGGAATCTCCTGAGAAAATTACGGGAGGAAATCAAGAAAAAGTGACATGGAATGCTGGGAAAAGGTGTGCAACTTCTTTACGAAAACTCACCCGCTCATACTGCTCATGCTACGACGACACTTGCTGCCAGTTTGGGATATGAAATTCTCCCCCGTCCCTCATATTCACCAGACCTGGCACCGAGCGATTTCTTCCTCTTTCCACGGCTAACGAAGCCACTTAGTGGTAAGCGATTCCAAACTATGATGACGTAATTCTTGCAGTGGAGTGCTTCCTAAACAGTCAGAATGAGACATATGATCAAGGTATCCAGTAGCTAATGCATCGTTGGGGAAGATGTGTGGCCTTGCAGGGGCATATATATAGAGAATGACTACCTCATATACAGTTTCTTGCACCTTTGTCTCTGTTTGTTCTGGGTGTTAATTAAAATTTTATGACTTCCCCATGTGCATACATACAGGCAGATGGGATTCCACTTTCTTTTCCTATTCAGGGGTCCTCAAAAACCATAAAAATCTCGAGATTGATTTTATACGATATAAATATTTTCTCATATATGAGAAAAAGAAAAGATGGTCACAAAAACAGTAAATATTTTATCTTCTTACGCCTCATGTACTGTTTGCCAGTTGTTATGAAACCAAAATTAGAATAACTGAAAGTTTCATTTCCCTTCTAAGATTCTGATACGACACATGGGAGAGCTTGGTCACCTAGTTCAACAGAAATTCCACAGATGAAAAAAAGGAATTGTATGTTCATGAAATATGAGTAGCTTGTTCAAACCACATGAAGATGGAAAGGTGTCTAATGATAAATAGCTAAAGAGTAAATATTACCATGACTCTTATTATGTAAGTTAAATTGACTTTGTTTTACCCGAATTGTTGTTCTGCTACTGTTATTATTAGATGTGGAATGTAGTGATTATTCAGTCAGCTCTGTCATCTTATAATTGGTAATTCCCTCTTGTCATTACTAGAAGAAAAGCCAGAACAAATGATCTTACTCTGCAATGTATTAGAGGGATGAAAGTCCAGCATACCAGTGTTAATGACTGTCCTCCAAAGACTGAGCCCTCAAATTAAAGAAGTATATGTATTATATAATTAATAAAATCTTCTCAGACTATCAGCAATATCACTCAATTAAAATCACCAAGTCCATGATTTATTTAATCCGTCTTGCAGTGCATACACTCATTTTTCTCCTTCTCTCCCTCACACTACATGTTTCGGCATAATAATGCCATCTTCAGGTGCTTACTTATCCACGTCAAACCAGTTCATTGCATGCCATGTTCACACATTAAAATAACTAAAATATGTATCTATCATATACATTGTCCAACGTTAAAAATATTAAAATTGTTCAGGATAATATTTTTAACGTTGGACAATGTATATGATAGATACATATTTTAGTTATTTTAATGTGTGAACATGGCATGCAATGAACTGGTTTGACGTGGATAAGTAAGCACCTGAAGATGGCATTATTATGCCGAAACATGTAGTGCGAGGGAGAGAAGGAGAAAAATGAGTGTATGCACTGCAAGACGGATTAAATAAATCATGGACTTAAATCAGTGCAACAGGACGCTAAAATATAACATTAAAATCACCAATGTTTCAGTGACTATTTCTGTCCCCATCATCAGGGTCAGATGTAACATAGGATTCAAACTGTCCCATGTTCATACCAACTCATGGCCTATGGTTGAAACTGAGTAGAAGTTAACAAGGGGGTTGATGGGTGGTATTGTAAATTTTAACCAACTAACATGGCTAATAACCCAAGAAGATTTTATTAACTTTTACTACCTTGAAAACTTCAGGTTTTACACATGACAATGCATATATAGTGATGTATTCAGGTAGTCTTAATTCAGTAAAATTTATTGAGTAATGTCTTTCAGTTCATTCAAGACAGAATAGCATATATAGGCTGGTGTAATTCAAAACTCTATCACATTTTTTCACAGGGAACTTGAATCATGCAAAGAATACCTGAAATTTGAAGTTTTTGTAAAATACATTTTTGAAACACAAAACAAACCTAACCAGCTCCATGGAACAGAGTCCTTCCTGAGAAGATAATAGTAATATGTCTAGTCAATATATTACTTATATTGTGTAGAACATGAAGGTTCATGACCATGTTCGTATGAGTCAACCGCTGAACCTATCCTGAGTCAGATGAAAGAAGATCACACAAATTAAGTTATGAAGACAACGTTTGAAAGTGATATCCAATTGTGGGATTTTGGGTATTTAGCAAAGATGCATATGAACAAAATTTTCCCTACCATTATTATACAGTTAATTAGAATGACCACAGTAATGGGCCTTTGAGTCCCATAAAAGATGAGAAATTTCTTAGCCAGCTCTCTGATTATTAGTTTCTCAAGTAGGACTTGGTGTCATAGAGTCTGTGATAATTGTGATACTAAATAATCTAAAAATGAATGAAATATCAGTGCAGACTGGGAACATTATCCAAATGTTAATGTACTTCATCAGAGTTTACGTGTTGAAATGAACAAAATTATGAAAAATTATGAATAAACAGATTTGGATTGAAATTAAATGCAAGTCTGAAGGCAAAGGTGACATAAAGACATTAATCCCATAAAAGATTGACAAGAAGTATGGGCTCAGTAATGAACAGTAATGACTAAGTAGATATTGTCAGCTAAATGGAATCATTGCTTAAATCATTTGCAAGTTATTCCATGTGAGTCAGACTTATAGCTTCCAGCTGATTCCATGTCAACCATTCTTATTACATCTCGGAATTGCTTGCAGCTGATTCTATGTCTCTGTCATCTCCTCCTGGAACATCAGTACAAAGCCCACGAGATTTTGATAAATGCGAAACACCACTTCCACAAGAAGTACAGCAGTTACCAGAGAATCTGCAGAACTTGTTAATGGGAAGAATTGCATCTGCTCGGACTACCACCAAGACTCGTAAAATTGTCATCTATGTCTGTGCTGCTGATTCACAAGGTAACACAGAAAATAATTCATTTTGAAGAGAATAAACGATTAAACTAATTAGAAATGATCATTTCCTTGCATGTATGTTCTTTTAATAATACTATCTTCTGGGATATAATGCCATGTAGTCCATTGGAGGTCAACCACTGTTTCAGAGGAACGTATCACCTCCATCTTCAGGGTCAAAGAATAAAACCGAGCAAGATACCAGGGTGAAACAGGTGGCAAACAGATCTTGTTCTTTGACTCTGAAAATGGAGGCGATATGTTCCTCCGAAACATGGGTTGACTTTTAACTGACTACATGGCATTACACCCCACAACATAGTACTCTTCATAACTCCTGATGTTAGAACCTGAAATCCATGTGCTTTGTTTATTTGCCACTTAGTATATTTTGTCTAGTATAGAAACAGGAAGTTGTAGCAAGAACAGTGAACTGCTTCCATTTGTGTAGAGATGCCAGGATCAATCATAAGTTAATAATTGTACAACACAAATATTGTTGGTGTGGTATATTCATAATACATTACTATGCCATATTTTCTGTACCACCCTACATTGGAACAGTTATTTGTATCAGTAAGAAAAGAAAACTATAGATTTCAAGTGGTTGTGCTTTTAATTCACATGTTTGTGTACGTGTGTACATTCACACACATACAGGATATGAATGTAAATTCACACACACACAAGAAAAGGAAAAAGCCTGAAGCTGTATGTTCTTCAAGAATATGCCAGGATGCAGATTTTCAGTACCATATATTATATGGTCCAAGTATTCTTCTGGTCTCAAAATTATGTGTGTCCATCATTTTAAGGAAACTAGGAATGGAATCCTTAGGATACTAGTGTCCATTCCACCATCTTAGAGCATGTTAAACTTTTAACAAGAAGACAAATTGAGGACTTAAGAAACGTTTCAACCAAATAAGAAAGAAATATAAAATTTGTGTTAGACTTACAATGTCATACAACACCATCATGGTATTTTTCAATTTCCAGATAATCAAGATTGTTTGTAGTGAGCATATTATATCACCATTTCTTTAATTGAATTACTGTTTATACTTTTCAACACACAGCAATAATAAACAAGTTATTTTTTGAGTATATAGAAATGATTATTTTAATTCTAGTTAATTTGAATTTATGTAAAACATCTCCAGTCTTCCTTCCCAAACCTTTTCACATCTTAAAAGCTGACTGATTTTGCTCCATCTAGAACATTGTTTTATCTGTAGTTGCAGTACTGTCCTATACTACATTTCTTCATCTAGCCAAATATGTAAAAAGCTTTTAAAAATGTTTGGTGTATTCTTAGCCAAATTTCCTTATATTATAAAGAAAAGTGCATCCATTTTCTTATCTTGTCAGTGTACTTTCATTCATCCCCTTCCCTTCCTTAATAACTATTTGTATTAATTGATAAATTATTATAAAATTTGACATGAACCTTGGGCATGCCAGATTTTTTCTTAATTTTCTGCCACCAGTATGAGCAACAGGACAGTCATGTGAACTTCTGAGCTGGAAATGAGACTAGTGCCACTGAATATAGGGAAACTTATACATTATTGTTAGAATTATATTTTAAAAGAATGTAGATAAACAGCATAACTAAGAGTAATCACAACTTTTTTTATATGTTCAGACTTGCATACATGCTGAAGGTGTGAATATTTGTGGTTATATATGAAAAATTTAATGTAGTTGAAGTTTGTGCTATTGGAAATTGTGCACAGATATGGATGACTGAATGGTTAGTTGCTAATTTTTACTTCCTGCTAGCCTTGACATAAAAAAAGTAAAGTAAGTAAAGCTTTTGAAAATTCATGAAAGTTTTCTCAGACTCATTTTATGGTTCAGTTGTTACACAGAGTTTTCTGTGTTAGTATGCCATTCCATAAGTCATTGACTTTGGTGTCTTTCCAACATGAATATTTCTTTCAGGAACCCTCCATTACTTGATGTAAGAGCTGAGCTGAGGATCTGGTAAATGCTCCTCTTCCTCCTATTTATTAGCTTATTTTCTCTAGCTTGAAGAAGATAAAGTAGGTTTATAAGATCACCTTGCTCTCTGTGTGTCTTCCTGTGTATTTTGCCCTATTGTTGCTAGGCAGTGACTTGGTAAACACATTCCCATGACAATGAATACACATAAAACAAGAGAAGAACTCTTGAATGTGTCATTTTTTATGGAGCCCATGCCATATCAAAGGATAATAGGTGATTAGTTCTACCCAGATCTTCTTGTTTTACTAACCCTGTTAGCCTTAACTACATTTCTTTTATATTCTTTTTATGTGCTCATGTTGCCATCTCCTCTGTTGTGACTCTGTGCTGTCTGGTAGTTGGTTACCCTTTTGGAGGGAAAAACTGTCTGTCTCTTATTGTGAAAATGGTGACATGCATTCCTTCAGAATGTTGGTAACTGGGTACCAAACTATGGTAATGTAATGTGAAAAACAGCATTATGAACCAAGCCATTTAGTGTTGTGGTAACACTCAATTTTTGTGTTCAGGCACTGCTCAATTTGAATCTCAACTGAGTCACCAGCTAACCTGGCTGAGAATTTTCATGGTTTCCTTCAGTCCTTCTGGCAAATGCTGGGATACTATCACAATTAAGCCATGACCACTTTTTTCCAACTCCTTTCAAATTCATAAATTTGTCAGCATTTGATGGTCTATAGCCCAGATACTAACAGCACCATAAAATAAACTTAAGGAAAGTATGAGTAAGATCTTCTGTGTTGTAACAGTAGTCATGAGCCTCAATGGACTTAGTGCCAAGATGAACTGATTGGTGGTAAACTGCCAGTTGTAAAGTAACTCTGAATTGTTGTGAGAAGTGAGAAGTTGGTAGCTGAGGCCGTGAACAGCTCAGGAATCCAGAGGAAGAGACTGTCCACCATTGGAAGCTGCTACCAAGCAGTGGATAGTGAAAACAGACTTTCTGTATGATAAAGTTACAGAAATCTTTGGAACGCATGACTCAGTGAGACTGTCGTAGTTATTTGAAGTTATATGTTTAAGTGCCCAGTAAATCCATTTACTAATCCAAACCTTGTCTCTATTCACGTTATCATGTGACAATATTATCTTGCTACCATGAAATTGGGAATGTCAGTCAGTAAGGTGACTGGTTACACAGTGTAGAGTTAGATTCACAGCAAGAATTATATTTTTTAATCACAACATTCAGACAAGTCTTGGCACATCTCCAGCTTCCAAATGTTTGTTCACAGGAGGAAGATACCCTGGAGTTTGAAGCTGACCACTAACTTAATCTAGTATTGCAGAAAAGGTTTTTATGTCTCAACTTGCTTACTGTCCCTTAATGGTAAAATGTTCACGCATAGTGACAGTGGCATATTTTTATTTTGATTCTACCTTTTATTACATGATACAGTCTGGAACTGATTTTAATTGTCATATTATTTTATTTGAATTATTCCAGTCACTGGATATTGTGTTTCTTTGGAACATGAAATTTTCCTATTTTATATATATTTCTCTGCTTAATTAAATTAGTGAGTGCACATGTATCTTGTGAATTGTTCATGATTACAGTCTCTTTTTATTCTTCTGTTTAGTTCATAGATTTTACCTTAGGAAGTCCAGCAGTTCACAACTTTTTATTTCTCCCTGCATCAACATATCATCAGAACATGTTAATGTTTTTAGATTGCACTGGTTTATTTTGTTGTTATGCATCTTAATTCATGTATCACTTTGTTAAATAAATGTGGAAAAAATAATTTCTGCAGCTTAGGATAGTTTTACTTTCTTATGCATCTGAAACACAATAATGATACTGCAGATTGCTGTATTGAAAAGGGAGCACTGCACAACACCATGTACCCAGAACTTCGTGATTACTGCCGCAGCCGAGGTTATGAGCTTCACATTGTTGACCTGCACTGGAAAACAGGTTTAGAGAAGCAGCAAGACCATGAGTTTCCTGAACTGTGTCTTGGAGAACTGTCACGTAAGAAAATTTAAAGGATTTGTTATGCAATAAAATCATATTGAGCCATAATAAATGAGGCTGTAGTGAGTTCAGTGTGTCTCCTACATATAGTGAACATTTAAATAGAGTAACCACTCCCTGTAAGCTCCTCTAATATGTACTGAATTTATGTTTGCAATAATATAGGAAAATAGGTACTCTGCGTACTCACATTCTAATCATGTTTAGAAGTGTTACTATAACATGCAGTATAGACAAAATTCAAAATACATGTTTTAAGAAGCTTTTCTAACAAGCATACTTCATGAAAATTCCACTGTAGACATGTCCAGTTGATACAAACGTAGATGCAAAGAGCATGAACGTATCTACTTTCGTATCAACTGGACAATTCTGCAGTGACAGAACACAGCATTATATCAGGCCACCAGATCAAGTTCCATGAGACAAAGCACTATCCACTACATGGACTGACTTGTCAAAGAAGCAATTGAAATAAAATTATATGGGGACAATATAAACAGAGAGGAAGAGTTCAATCTCAGCAAAACGTGGAATCCCAGCACCAGTTTATTATGACATTCCAAAACACATACATCACGAAAACCCCAAGAAGACACAGTGAAAAGCATGCTGTGAAGAAAGCAAAATATTTGACAGTAGGGACACCAGGATAAGTAAATGGTGGAATGTTACAGTTGGATGGGCGGCTATGCAATTCTGCCCTCTTACTGCATAGCACACCAATAGGAAGAGAGGAAAGGGCATCAATTTGGCAAACTGGTATAAATTTCAACAACATGTGGTCATTCACAGAGAACACTAATTATATGTTGCTATCTCATCACCAAAATGCAGGGTAAAATCAGGAAATGAAGATGGGTAACAGATGTTTTGAAAATGTGGCACAGTTCAGATATTTGGGGATGACTATAACAAATCAAAACCTGATTCAGGAGGAAATCAAGAGGAGATTGAACTCAGGTAATGCTTGCTACCATTCAGTCCAGAACCTTTAATCTTCCTGTCTGTTGTCTAAAAACATAAAAATTAGAATATACAAAACTATAATTTTGCCTGTGGTTCTGTATGGGTGTGAAACTTGGTCTCTGACTTTAAGGGAGGAACATAAACTGAGGGTGTTTGAGAACAGGGAGCTGAGGAGAATATTTGATCTGAAGAGAGATGAGGTGATGGGTGGATGTAGAAAACTGCATAATGAGGAGCTCTGTAACTTGTACACTTCTCCAAGTATAATTAGAATGATCAATTCAAGGATGATGGGATGGGCATGTCATGTAGCACGAATGGGGGTAGAATAGGAATGCATGTAGGAAATTTGTGGGAAAGACAGATGGAAAGAGACCACTGGGAAGACCAAGACATAGGTGGGTGGACAATATTAAAATGGATCTTAGAGAGATAGGATGGGATGGTATGGATTGGATTGATCTGGCTTAGGAAAGGGACCAGTGGAGGACTCTTGTGAACATGGTAATGAACATTCATGTTCCATAAAATGCTGGGAAATTCTCGAGTGTCTGCACAATTGGCAGCTTCTCAAGAAGGGCTCAGCTCCATGAATGAGTGATATGGTCATTCACCAAGTCAGTCCTGATAATTGGGAAAAAGGAGATCTCTAAAATTTTGGTTTTTAGTTCAACATTGACATAGAAGATCACCAGAGAAGGTTTTGTGAAGTGTGATAGATTAATGCAACTAGGATAGATAATCTATGAGCTGAGATAGCTCAGTCAGCATAGCGATGGGCTATGGGCTGGATGGACAAGGTTTGATTCCCAGCACTGGTAAGAGCCTTTCCTGTACTCCACATTGTCCAGATTGGCTCTAGGGACTCTTATTAATCAATAATTTTGAATAGTAAATACAGAAAAATCATTAATGAAAAGTGACAGTTATTATTAAGTAACAAAACATAATAAATAAACACGTAAATATCAGTGGAATTTAGTATTTGAAGTAATCAAGCAGTTTATTTTTTAGTAATGAAGAAAGCTTAATCATGCACACTCAGAGGAAAAAAAATAGCAAATTCAAATTGGCAAGTACGACAGTGTCAGTGCAGCACATCGGCACATGGTCCCATAACATCCACCACTCCCAGACAACACCAAAAAACTATGGTTAATTGTAACGTACTTTAAGATGATTTAGTTTAATAATTACTCAATATAAGCTTTTAACATGAGGGTAACCTGCATTTTAACTTTAAATACATAATATTATAATATTTATTAATCCCTAATATATAGGTTTTAACCTCAAACAACAAGTCTCTGTTTATGTTCTCTAAGGTATTGCTAATTTTCATAACTAAAAAAATTGCAAAATATGGATCTATATTGGTGCAATTAAATTCAAGTAACTTAGTTTATGTTTTATGGAATTTTTCTGATGATGACCTAAGTAAAGGTTGAAACATGTAGCATACACCTGCTTACAATAAACGAGTAAGAGACACCACAGCATCTATTTTGTCTCCACTTTGAAAATATCCTCCCTCTTGTGTTGAGAGTCCTATTCACATAACTCATTGCTACCACTTATTATTATGTAATGAGTGCAACTGATGTGTCATGTTTTTCACTACTATTATGCTCACCCTAGTGATACATTTATTTTTGTTTGCAGGGCAAATAGAAGTAGCCTATGTGATTCCAGTACTATTTTTGAGTAATTCTCTTGGTACACCACTTTTGCCAAAAACAATTGAGAATCAAGATTTTGAAATGGCACTTAGCATTGCTGACAACAAGGAGCTATTGCAGAAATGGTATCAGCTGGATGGTCATGCTCAACCACCTTGCTATAGACTGCAGCCTATTGCCAGTCACATTCCAGGATTTAAGGTCTGGACTAATACATTCTCAGCTAAAACAGAGATAGTCAAGAATATTAATGTAATTTCATACCAGTGTTCTAAATTCTTAACAGCAGTGTAACAAAACAAACCACCTCACATTAAAACTCAAATCAGGCTCATATGGAGATGAGATTCTCCATCAAACATTCCATGCACCTAGTATAATTCAAGGGGTTTGTACACATATTACGAATTAATTAGTATTTCCAAGCCTGATCAATGAATATTTGTATGTACAAGGGTGAGTCAAATGAAAACCGCAAATTTTTTCTAATTTAATTTATTGAATGAAGATGTTAACACAACTATATAATTTTTCTACATAGTCTCCATTTTGTTCAGTACAGGCCCTCCAGTGTTTACAAAGTGTATGGATTCCTCTATAAGAAAATCTTGTGGTTGTCTGCGCAACCACTCATGCACCGCCTGCTGTACCTCTTCAACAGAATGGAACTTCTATCCTCCCCTCCCATCGCCTCTTTGAGTGGCCCTGCCATGTGGTAATAATCACTTGGGGCTAGGTCTGGTGAGTATGGCGGATGTGGAAGACACTCAAAGTGCAAGTCTTGGATTGTTGCAACTGTTGCACAGGCAATATTGGGCCGAGCATTGTCATGTTGTAAAAGGACACCTCTAGTCAAAAGTCCACATCGCTTTGATCTGACTGCAGGTTGAAGATGATTCTTCAAGAGATCTGAATATGAGGCACTGGTGATAGTGTTCCCCCAAGGCATGTAGTGCTCCAAGAGTATGCCTTATTTGTCCCAAAAGAGAGTCAGCATAGTCTTCCCTGCAGATGGCTGCATCCGGAACTTCTTGGGTTTTGGTGATGAGGAATGATGCCCTTCCTTGCTTGTTCTCTTTGTTCCTGGTTGGTGGTTTCATTGCCAGTAATGATTCTTGAAAGGAAGCCATCACCAATCACAAGAATGCATCACCATACTGAACTTTCATCTGTCGATGAAATTCAATCGGTTTCACACCTTCACTGATCAAAAAACTAATTACAGAATGTTGTTCTTCTTTTGTGCATGTATGTAGTGGAGCAGCCATTTTCAGTCCAGCACTGTGATGGTGTTCTCTTTGTCTGCATTATGCTGCTACCTATAGGATACTCTTTATAGCATTGGTAACATGTCTGCTAACTTATAGGACAATGGCGCGATATTTCAAATTTTTATCACAGTTTTACAGTTTTCATTTGACTCACCTACGTATTAAATAGCCTCAAGTTTCAGGAATGGTCAAATGTCTTACGTCTTTCCCATATTTGCTGACATCTATGACTGCAACTCCATTCTTACCACTGAGATGTTGCACATATTGCAGATACTGGAACCCATTTGTGCCCACTCTAACATTCTTTTATAGGAAGATTCACCAGAGGAGAAGGAGAGAGCACTGAGTGAATGGCGTTCAGAAATAGAACGAACACTTGATGTTATGGTGAACGTTTTCTCACAGGAACTAAGGGACACTTACCTCACCACTGTAGTGGAACAAGTAAGTGTGCAGGTTTAATGTACATACTTACAAAATAAATGATATTCTGCAAGCTACGTTTGTATTATGATGAAAGCTTCTGGTGTTGTGCAGATGTAAAATAACCCACTGGGATAAAATGTTAAGGTTGTCATAATTAATAAATTGCTTAATTCCTTAATTTCCACTTATTTTTTTAAATTATTGAGTCAAACAGTACAAAATTATGATACCAATTTCCAATTTCAGAAAACAAACCAGGGTAATATGTAAAGAGGGTGTTTAAAAAAGTATCCATACTTTGACTCCTGGGAACCTCAAGGTCCTGTCCTTCAACATTACCAGGAACATGGAATCATAGTAAGAAGTATAAGATATTCTGATGTGTTAGGAAATGAAGTGAGGCCGGCCATTTGCCCAAAATGTTGAGGATGATTATCAGATAGTGTTCTTTTTTCACATGACAGTGGTTGACCTCATACTGCTGCGCATACTAGGGAAATGCTTCAGGAGCTGAAAATTGAAGTTTTCAACCATTCTGCATACATTCCAGACTTTGTACCCTCCACCTGTTTGTACAACTGAAGAGGGGACTGTCAGAGGTCATAAATTTACATATGATGCCAAGGTGAAGGAAGACATGCATCACCAGCTTCACACTCAGTACAGATAGTTTTTTCTGATGTTATCAAAAGGATTATGGACTGCTGAACAAACTACTTGAGGAGTATGGAGAGTATATAGAAAAAGGATACTCCTGTAACTACATTCAATTGTTTCTGGGGGGGG